TTGCAGCTGTTGCTGCTGTTGTAGGTGCTGCTGCTGCTGCTGTGGCTGCTGCTGCTGGACGTCTGACGCGTACACCACCGGCCAGGGTGTGGACTGTGACAGAGACATACGTTAGGATTAAAGCACAAGGGCACCGCGTCGGTGCGCACCGCCTTGCATATGAGGAAGGCCGCACTTACCTGATCTTGCTCCTGCGCCAGCGCCACCTGCTCCTGCGTGAGCCCGGGCTGCACGTGCAGCTCGAGAGGCTGTTGCTGGCCCTCCTGTTGGCCGTCCTGGGGCAGGGACACGAGCTGCTGCTGCTGCTGCTGCTGCTGCTGTTGCGGCTGCCTGGGGTCGTACAGCAAAGGGGGCTGGTGCGGCGTCACCTGAGTGGAAAATGTTATATTGAAGTGTTTTCTAATTTCTAGGGGTGGGTCGGTGGACATTACTGTAGTCATGCGCTCCAAGAGTCCGACACTAATAGGTGGTCGGGTTATTCAACTCAAAACAATAATCAGTCACCCTCCAAAAAAAATCAGGAATTTCTGATGTCGAAAAAACCAAGGGAATCGACGAAAGTAGATAGGTGGGCAGCAGCCCCAGCACCAGCAGCAACAGCTCCGACGGCAGCGCCTCCATCTACAGCCAAAAGGGGCCTTCAGCTAGCACCTTCTCGCCATGGCGCGCGGCGCGCGAGGGTCGTTTGGACGGTCTAGGTGGTCGCCGTTCCAGTCATTTCCAGTGTTGCCGCGAAAATCGGTGAATAAAGTGCGCGAGAAACGCTTTTAAGAGCATGTCAATTGGAAGGGGGCTGATTTCATTCAAAATGGAATGCTGGCTGACATGACAACACAGGGAGCAGGGGAATGGGCCGCCGTCTAGACCGTCTAAACGGCGCTCTCGTTTAAAGTCGGAAAGGTAACGTAATAGACCTGCAGCGCAGGCGGGCCGGCACCTAGGTCACCACCTAGGTCGACACCCATTACTCACCATCGAAGCTCTTTGACCCTCCACAACCCCGTCCTCCGCGTTGGCCTCCTCCGCGTTGCCGTCTTCCACGACGCTATCCTCCTCGACGCCATCCTCTGCGACGCCGTCCCCCACGACTCTGTCCGACCAGGCGTTGGCCTCCCGGACGCCGTCCACAAGGACGTCACCATGCGCGGCGCCGTGCTTCATGCTCACGATCCTCCGGCTAGCTAAACGTCATGACGCGCACCCGGGCAGGCGCACGCGTGCTCCCTCGGGCTCCTCTTCACTTTCAAGTAGGGCTTTGTCCTGGAGATGGGCGGCGACCTGCCTGCACTCACCGCTCGATCGCCCAGACCACGACGACGAGGGAGTACCCTGCGGCCACTACTTGCGGACGACACTCAGCCGGCGGCGCTGCCCCGGCCCGCGTCCGGGCTGCGCTCGGCGTC